TTGAATGGATTTTTAAACACAAGGCTAAAAGATTGCTCAAAGACCGTTTTTAGCTCTAGTCACTGAGGCTGGGCCTGTGAGGACCCGAGGTCGTGATCATATTATGTTAATTAAAGTGCACTCACCCTTGGTGACTTCATTTTGAGATTAGAACTTGTTCTCAAGCTCTATGTTAAACTCACAAAAACTGTTGGAGTGTAGAGAGCTCATGGAAAGTTAGCGGTTGTTCCCTCTAAGCATGCCATTTGTAGACAAGGCTGATAAACTGTAACTGATTACTGGTTCAAATCAATTCACCACTGTGAAGGCTTTTAATTTTTGTATGCCCGTCCCCTCAACGTTGTGGCTGCCTGATATTAACCTTCATCAGGAATTTGGAATCTGTACGCAAAAATGAAGCTGAAGGAATTTTTATCCTGATCAGCCCCCTGCTAAAATACCTCCATACGAATAGTCTTCATTTACTGCTATATGCAACATTCAAAGAATGAGGAGCAAAAATTTAATAGGTTTTTTAAATGATTAACTAGAAGCTTTGTTCTGAACTCTGGTTTCATTACTTTCTCTATCTAAAAAAAGATAACGATCGGTTTATTTTACTGACTGGAGTCTTTGTGTGTTTGATGTTGCCCTACAGATATCTGCGCTCATGGGAGGTAGCAGACCAGACTGGCTTTTGATCAGTATTGGCTTGCTTTCATAAAAAGCAGGAAACCAGGCATAGGCCTGCTCTGGCATGTGGTGGCAGAAGGGCCAATGTCAGGAGCAGTCCAGAGTGGGAGTAGAAACCAAAGAACAAGGAACAAAATCTGAGTGTTCCCTGTCCTCTCGTTGTTTTTTCTAGTTTCGATTACATTGTTTAAAGCTTCTGAACATCCACACATGAAGCACAAGTTCAATTGTAAAGACACAAGTATGTGATTCTAAGACTCAGAACTTCAATCTGCCTTCCTCATTGGATAAAACAAAAAGGAAAAGTTGGTGAGGAAAAACAAATAGTTTGGTTTAAAAAAAAAAAAACATCCCCCTGCATTCCTGTAGCAACAGCACTGTGAGGTTAGACTCAGGGCCAAAGTTATGGGGAATGTTGCTATAGCTACCAGTTAAGTTTGGTGCATGAGGTGAAACCAGGGATGGTTACTGTATTCCGCCCAGAGACGCCAAAATCTGAAGTTTCTTCAGGACATGGATTAATAATACGTCTCACATGTAATGTCATTGGTTTAAAAATACCGTACATGAAATGTCATGACTTGTATTTTTCATGACAAAAGCATGTTTTTCAGTTGTGGAGACGGCTTGGCTGGGCTCACATCCACAAATCTGGAATAATTTGCGGCGCAGTTCTGAAAGGCTTTTCTGTACAAAGCAGCTGAGGGTTAAAGGGTTAAAGCTGGGCAGAGTTAAACGTGCCACCTGTCTTTAATTCCTTAAAGCGGTGTAATTTGTGGGACTCACACTGCAGACGTAATAACCGACACTTAACCTCATGTCGGTCTATTTTCGCGAGGTATGTGTATGGGATGAAAGTCAGGTAGTGTGTCACCAGGCATTTAATTGGCTTTGCTGTGTCGACAGTTTTCTCAGAGAGGAACGTGCGTAAAAGCAAAGCCATGAACTCGAGATGGGATGTGCAAAGCCCGAGTCGTCTGTTACAGTAAAAATAAATAAAAAGGCATGTAAATAGGGGGCTGTGACACACTAAACATGACACCACAGAGGGAATCATGTCTTCTGCTCCATGTGTATCCCCTATTATTTGACAAAACAAAGCCAATGTTTGTGCTCGTCCCTAAGGCCACAGACTGCATTCTAGGATCAAGAGAGGGAAAGAGAGGGCTTTTTGTGCTGGGACTGAATAGCTATTACAGTCACATCCCACATTAAAAAGGCCCGGCTCTGGCCGAGCTGCCTCTCCCTCCCAATGGGGTGCAGAGTCTTGAGACTTGCGTAAGGAGCAACATGTGCATAGAGCGATGAGTTAATTCTGACATTCGTTCAGCAACAGCCCCATGTGTCTGTGTTAGACTCATATGTGCACCCACTGGGTTTTTAGAACTCGTCCAAAACAATGAGAACATGATACGGACATATGAAATAGGAAGTTTAGACGCAGACAGAGTGAATAAAGGCTGATGACATGGCTGCTTGTGATGGTCATGGGTTGACTATTTATTGTCAAACATTACCATCTGCTAGCAGTCAGGCAGGGAGAGGAGCAGAGGGATTGTTCAGAAGGATGGCACTATGGAGAATAGGTGTGCGGTTAACTGAGCTCCGCAGCACACAGACCGGCCTTGTCGGTCCTAATGGGCTCGGTAGTTTTTTTTGCTGAACATGCAACGACTCCTGTTTTATCCAGGCCTTCACTTTGTTTGTGTGCACTTAAATAGAATTTAAAAAGCTTTCATCTGCTGTATATCTTCATTCATGGCTTGCTGTGACTCATCTGCAGGAATGGGACACAGACAGCTGTGATTCATCTGAGCCTCTAAAAGAGACATGCCTGTGCTACATGTGACAGATATTTTCGCAGTATTGTTTTTGGGTAGGTACGTGGTGTGAGCCTCTAGAATTGCGCAAACACTTTTGACAGTTTCCATCACACTTTGCTGAGAAAAAAGGGCGGCTGGAATAATTAAACCTATTTATAGCGTGTGCGTCTATCACTGCGTACATTTACATTTGTTCATGTTCATTAGAGATGAAGAAGGAAAGAGAAAAGCTCATTATGAAAATGTGTTGCATGATTGATATCATGTTCAGGTGTTTATGTGACAGGGTTCTGAAAATACAAACAACAAAGTCATCCACTTAATACCTTGTGAGTCTCAGGCACACTGCTGCTTTGGACATTAAAAAAACTGCACACTTCCACAAACACACACCCTGGTGCCTGTTTTGGGGGATCCTGGTGATCGCATAATTACTTTGGGTGAATATGTGCTATTTATAGCAACTGCTGCTGAGCCAAGAAGAGGACGAGGGATTACAGCTAGGGGTGTTCAGCCCCGGTAGAAGCCAGAGCGGATCATTTCAGCTGTTTTATCACCTGCAGGAGGGGTAGTTAAGAGGAGGAAGCATATGATGCAGATATCACACTGTGACAGGGTTCTGAAAATATTAACAACAAAGCCATTCACTTCAAATCTTGTGAGTCTCGGGCACATGGCTGTTCTGGACCTGAAGAAAACTGCACACCTCTATTATGTACAGAAACAGACTGTGCAAATCGCTGTTCTCTCCACAACCAGCCGAGGATGGCAGAGGGGACTTTGTGTTGTGTTGGTGTGTTGTGTGGAGTACTGTGCGATTCTGTGTGGATCCACATTAGTCAGGGGCGAGCAGAAAAGCAGCAGAAAGGTCAGCGGAAAGGACCAAATCCCATCTGTGCACACGCACTTGCTCTGTAGCATAAAGGCAGCAAATGCTCCAGAATATTAGCTGAGAGACTCGTACACCGTCAACCCCCTCGATGTGTGGCAGGAAATCTCAGCCTGAAGCCTGGAGCCAAAGGAGTGGAAATTTGCATTGTCACACGACAACACTCCGGAACATATGTAGAAAATTCCACATCGTCGCTTATTTTAAACTGATAATAAAAAGAAGCCCCACCCTCTCTGTCTTTCTTTTTTTGTAGACTATTTTCACCCAAGAAGCCTCTGTGATGCTGCTACATATCCTGGAAAAAGATACACAGCTTTGTGAGTCTCTGTCCTAGAGCAAGTCACAGAGTCCTGTATCCAAAGAAGCTGAGACAATGTACAATCTAAATCTGTTACAATTATCTTTTATTTGACTCCCAAATTTGATCTATGAAGACGGTAAGACTGGAAAGTAAGACTCAAATGTTGAAAAAGACAGATCCATGGCTACAAAAAAAAACAAAAAACAGATGCTTATGCAAATTGAGCCTCTTTAGAATACTCCTGGCACCAAGGGCAGCAAAGAAACCAAAATCAGATCTAGTCATGGAGCAGACAGCTGATCAGGGTCCAGAACTGCACATAAACACAGAAATGCTGTTGGTATTAATCATTTTAACCATCCTCTCACTTGGAGCCAATCATAAATGTTATGCACCACCCAAGAAATATCGCTTGTATATTACACTATTAGTGCACTTCTGTGCAGTGAACCTGTCTGTAGCAGGAGATAAATGTAGCGGTTCTGAGATATTCCTTTAATACCCAAACATATTACTGACGTGTTGCCAGTTAATCTAATCAGTTATGAGATGTTTCACAGGGTTCACAGCATTATCCAATTCTCCCAGAACTTTGTCATCCCTTAAAGATTTGACTGACATCGAGCTCAAAATATATGATGTAGTGATTGTCATAAATGTTCAAGTCCAGCCATATGCAATGGGTACTCTTTAGTATCTGATGTATCTCAATTTGTTGTATTGTTTTCCATCATGCTAAATTTACAAGCAGGGCAACCTGCACAGACAACAGACGTTGTTTACTTTTTATTTTTCCCTGTAAAGACATTTAAGGAGTCCGTCACACTTGAACTTTGAGGTTTTTCGTCACATTCTGCCTCTCCTCCCCCATTTCCAGTCCATCCCCAACTTTTAGGAGTTGTTTACAGATAAAAACAGACGAATGGGAGATTTCACACTGTGTCAGATTTCGAGTTGCTTTCAAGTTTGAATCATTTCATGGCAGTCTTCCTAAAGTTGAGTGATCAGTGTGCCGCGTGCGTGTGCTGAAGACCCGGCTGATCCTGGGGGTTTCTATTAAGCCAGTAACCGGAGCAGAGATGGTGTTAAATATAGGGGGAAGGCCCTTATGCCTTCCCAGCAACAGCAACGGGTGGCAGTGCCAGACAGTAACTGGACAGCATCATAACACCATTCGCAGTATCAAAGTCCAAGTGTCCTCACAGGACCTGTTGTGTAAAACTACAGTGTGACAAGTTTTTTCTTGTATCTGTTTCTAACTGTGTGCAAAAAAAAAAACTTCAGCCTTGAAGAGCCTCCCTCTTCCTGTAACATGACTCCTGGTAAGTCATTAAACCTCAAAGGAAGAGTCGGTCCTCTGCAAACCTTACCTGTTCAACGCAAACAACACATGCAGCAGATACATGCACAATAGGGCACAAACAGCTCTCCAGCTTTTCCCACTGTGAGCTTGTTGTTGCTACTTGCTTCTTGGCTGGGCTCAAAGCGCTATGCTTTGTATGGGCCTGGGCTTGGCTTGTTGACTCTAGCTGGCCCATGTGTTGTGCCGCTGCCAGAGGGGAGTGTTCTTGGCCCGGCCAAGGCCAACGCAGATTGAGGAAGGAAGGTAAGAGTGTCTGCTGAGTGTGTGGGCGTGTGAGACAGAGTGTATGGCTTTGTTTGTGCTCGTGCTTAAATGTCCTGATTTTCCACGCGCGCACACAGATTCCGTAAAAAAACTGGGCGAAGACCTCTTTAAGTATAGTACCTGTCTCATAAAACACATTTGTTAGTGACGGTGCTTGTAAATTTAACAGCTTCAAGTAGGAATGGTGTCCTTACACCTTGTAAAATCTTATATTTAGCACATGTTTAGCACATGTTATGACACATGTTAATGTAACTGACATATTTATAGTGCCATCATAAAATTTACTGCCTGCCATACATGTACCATGGATGTACTACTCTTGTAAAAATCCACATTTGGGGAGTGAAAAACCAATATTCAACCCCACAACCCCCCACACCCCACCACACACACACACACACACACACACACACACACACACACACACACAC